CATGATACATTTTAAAATTAATACTTACTTTAGCTTCATGCTAAGCACATAAAATCATAGGTTTAACTTTCTCTAGCAAATGTTAAATAAGTGCTTAATTATTGACATGACGAATGCTTATTTACATGCCATTTTAAATCGTCTTACAAACCAAGGGTGCAGAGGCACTTCGGGAAACACTATTGCATTCTTTCCTCTAACGCAGCGGTTCTCAACCTGTGGGTCGCGACCCCTTTGGGGGTCGAACGACCCTTTCGCAGGGGTCGCCTAAGACCATCGAAAAACACATATATAATTACATATTGTTTTTGTGATTAATCACTATGCTTTAATTATGTTCAATTTGTAACAATGAAATTGGGGGTCACCACAACATGAGGAACTGTATTAAAGGGTCGCAGTATTAGGAAGGTTGAGAACCACTGCTCTAACGGATTTGTCCATTTCGGTGACAGAACATCACTCTAGCTTCATGGTGTGTTTTATTGCTGTTATTGTTCATGTCTTATTTTGAAATAACTTCAGACTCTCAAGATAGTAAAAATAGTACCGAGAACTGTTGTGAATCCATCAACTAGTCTCTCCTAATGATGATGTCTTATGTATCTGTAATACATTATCAAACTCAGGAAATTGACATGGCACAATATGATTGACTAGACCAGTGGTCGGCAAACTCATTAGTCAACAGAGCCAAATATCAACAGTACAACGATTGAAATTTCTTTTGAGAGCCAAATTTTTAAAACTTAAACTATATAGGTAGGTACATTGTTATTAACTTAATTAGGGTACTCCTAAGGCTTAGGAAGAGCCACACTCAAGGGGCCAAAGAGCCACATGTGGCTCGAGAGCCGCAGTTTACCGACCACGGGACTAGACTACAGACCTTTCTCAGATTTTGCGCATTTTTGCCTGCACTTATATTTTGTCTTTATATATAGTCAGATGACATTTTATCGCATTTATAGATTCATGTAACTACCACCACAATCAAGATACAGAACCATTAGTCACCATCAAGGAGCTTCCTCACAGACCCCTTCATAGTCACACCCTCCCTCACCTAACCCCCCGGCACCCATGGCTCTGTGGGCCACTCTATAACTTTGTCATTTTAATAATGGTATAGAAATGGAATCATACAGTACAGCATCTTGGGAACTGACTTGTGGTTTTTTTCCCTCACTTAGCATAATGACCTAGAGATTTGTCCAAATTGTCATGTCTATCAAAAGTCATTCCTTTCACTTGCTGACTAGTGTCCCACGGTGTAGCAATACCACAGTTTGTTTAACCACTCACCTACTAAGGGACATCTTTTTTTTTTTTCTATTTGGGGACAAATACAGCTAAAACTGCTATGAACATTCATATTTAGCTTTTTTTTTTAAATCCTCACCTGAGGATATATTTTTTTACTGATGAGAGAGAGAGAGAGAGAGAGAGAGAGAGAGAGAGAGAGAGACGTTGATATGAGAAACATTGATCGGTTGCCTCCCCTATGCCCCCTGACTGGGAATCGAACCTGCAACTTTTCGGAGTACCGGAGGATGCTCTAACTAACTGAGCCACCCAGCCAGGGCATCATGTACAGGTTTTGATGTGAATCTAAGCTTTTGTTTCTCCTGGATAAATGCTCAGGGGTGTGATCACTGGGATCCATGGTAAGTATGTGTTTAACTATTTAAGAAACTGCCAGATTGGTTTCCAGGTGGCTGAACCATTCACACTCCTCCCAGCAATGTCTGAGGGCTCAGGTTTCTCTGTATCCTCACCAGCATTCGGCACTCTCCATGTTTTTTTGTTACCTATTTTAATATATGTTCCTGAGGTTTTGATCCATCTTTCCCTGATGGCTATTAATGTTGAGCATCTTTTCATGTACTTATTTGTATGGCCTGTTTTGATACCCACTAGGCAAGTCTGAGGTTGCCTTTCTTATATGGTTCCTACCTCCACTGGCTCTTAGAGGGAGGCTGACCTTGACTGCTCCCTGAGTGGGAATGCTCCTCTTAGCTCTTCCACGGGCTGGAAGGGGGTGGGGTGATGGTGGGCGACTTGACCTCAGTGGTTAGGAGCACAGGCTCAGAGCTTCAGGTAAGCTCTGGGTGGGCTTACTGGGGAGAGGATGTGACGCTCCCAGTACCACACCCCAAGACACTTTCAATGAAAATCAATGCCTTTGGAGATGGAGTCACTTAGGCGTTGTGAGGAAGTTCTCAGACTGGGCTCACAACTGGAAATAGTGGGACTGGTCATAACAGATTCACAAGTATGACCGCACCTTTTCGGGCTGTAGAAAGAATTGGAGGGGAAGCTTGAGTTGTCCCAAAAGGCCTGTGGTTCCCACCAATATTCCAAGAGTAGGACTCACATCTGTCATGCTCTGCCCAGCGCCCCTGAGCAAGACCTGCCCAGTGGTGGGGGGAGGGCCACCTCCGCAGCAGTGACTGTGTCTCCCCACCCAGACTCACCTTCTCCCTGAGAGTTGACTATGAGCCCAAAGGTGCTAGAGAACCTCTGAGATCCAGGATAGGACTTGTGAGTCGGAGCCCAGGCGGCGCTAAAGCACGTCCTGGAGGAGTGAACTGGCCCTGGCAGGAGCCAGGAGGAACCAAACTCATAAACCCTACGGTGAGGAGGAGGGTGCGAGAGCGGGGAGAGGTCTCAGGTTCACCCTCTAGAGCAGGGATTCTAAGGTAGCTCTGCCGTCGGTGGCTCAGAAGGAGCCTCCTGACAGTCACACATCCCACATGCAGGTCCTTCCCTATGTCTTCCGGGGCAATCATGATCTCATCCAGAAGGTTCCATTTTCACCCGTGACCACAGTCCTCTTCATTACGACCTATGATTGAATCATTAAGGCTTACTAAAAGAGGGTATTTATAGTGTAAAATAAGGGTGTTTCTAAAACTTACTGAACAATGTCAGTGGGACCTTGGGGTCAGCTACTTAAAATGTGTTTATTTGCCCGTCTGTAAAGTGGGGATAATAATAGTTTCAACTTCACTGAGCTATTGGAAGGGTAAAGGGTTAAAACAGTACCTGGCACAGAGCAAGCATTGTGTCAGCCGTTATCATGACTAAAACATAAGCAGGGACTCCCCACCCCTGCAGAGGCTGGTGCTCCTGCCACTGTGCAGGGGGTTTTGAGCTGGGCTAGGGCTGCCTATGCTTGATCAGGCTGCCTTGATGGTAAGTTTTCCCACTGACATTAACCTTCTTAGGAAATGGTAAATTTCTGTTAGCTTAGCTTTATTGTTATCAACAGTACTAGAGGCTCATAAAACATAAGCAGGGACTCCCCACCCCTGCAGAGGCTGGTGCTCCTGCCACTGTGCAGGGGGTTTTGTCCTGGGCTAGGGCTGCCTATGCTTGATCAGGCTGCCTTGATGGTAAGTTTTCCCACTGACATTAACCTTCTTAGGAAATGATAAATTTCTGTTAGCTTAGTTTTATTGTTATCAACAGTACTAGAGGCTCAGTGCACGAATTCATGCACCAGAGGGGTCCCTCAGCCTGGCCTGAGGGATCAGGCTGAAACTGGCTCTCCAACATCCCTCCAGGGGTCCTGGATTGCGAGAGGGCAATCTGGCCACGGAGAGATGTGGGAGGTTGGCCAGCTGGAGAGGGACCGCAGGAGGGCTCCAGGGCGTGTCCGGCCTGTCTCGCTCAGTCCCAATTACCTAGACCCCAGCAGCAAGCTAACCTACCAGTCAGAGCGTCTTCCCCCTGGTGGTCGGTGCACATTATAGCGAGTGGTTGAGCAGTCTTACATATCATTAGCATATTACGCTTGGATTGGCTGAATGGATGACTGAACACTTAGCATATTAGGCTTTTATTATATAGGATGTGTTGGGAGTGGTTTGGTAAATCCTACAGAATACACTGCTGCATATTCCACACTCTAATTTTTAACATAAAACTTCCTAATAACTAGATTTCAAGCCATCCATGTGCATGGTTCAAACGTGGATCATCTCTGTCCCTATAGTTAAGCATGATGTGTATATATATATATATATATACATAACACGCCCCCCCCAAAAAAATTTGACTTTTGTGGAAAACATTATTGCTGTTACTGAGCTCTTTAAGGGGGACCATCAGGTGAATGTGGGCTGCAGAGTTTTCAGCCTCTCCTAAGTAGGCTCCAGAATATTGGAGGGTCCAGGAGGGTGGCCCTGCTCTTCAGAACTAGGTACCAGGGGAGTGGCAGCAGCCCCTGTCTGCAAGGCACCCCAGCTTGATGTAGAGGCAAGGGTCCTTGGGCTCCTCCTGGGGACCCCAGCTCCCCAGGCTGTCCTCTACTTCACAGCAGCTGCCCCTGCATGGACCCAGGAGCGTCTGTGCAGAGTGCTCACACACGTGCACACACACAGGGCTCAGGACCTGGCTCTGGACACCTCCTCCAGCAGCCTTACCTGATTGATCATACCCAATGCGGACCCATCTTCTCCTCTGCACTTGAAGACTTGCTATCTCTTTCCATTTGTTCCTCACTCTGCGGAGGGAACAGAATCCTGCCTGAGTCAGAGTGAGTCCTTTCTGTCCACGCTATGAAAGTAGACCTGATTGCCAGTTCGATTCCCGGTCAGGGCACATGCCCAGGTTGTGGGCTCAATCCCCAGTTGGGGCATGCAGTAGGCGGTTGATCGATGTTTCTCTTTCTCTCTCAGAGCTGTTTCTCTCTCTCTCTCTCTCTCTCTCTCTCTCTCTCTCTCTCTTCCTTCTTCTCTCTCTAAAATAAATAATAAATAAAAGCATATATATATATATATATAACCTGATGTTTGTACTGAGGCCCATTCACATACATATACCCATTAGATACAATATACTGCCTTGGGTGACTAAGGAAGCTAGGTCCAGGGAGGGTAGGCCACTTGTCAGAGGTCACACAGTCAGGCCCAGCCCAAGGAGTTCCCCTGTAATTAAGATGCTTATTGGTGGCCTAACTCCTTAACTGGTGAACTAACTTGCCTCCTTTCACCGCTCCTGCAGATGCCAAAGGGACCATCCGGGAAATTGTCCTGCCCAAGGGCCTGGACCTGGACCGGCCCAAGCGGACCCGCACATCCTTCACGGCCGAGCAGCTGTACCGCCTGGAGATGGAATTCCAGCGCTGCCAGTACGTGGTGGGCCGTGAGCGCACTGAGCTGGCCTGCCAGCTGAACCTCTCAGAGACCCAGGTAAGAGGGTATCGGGGCCACTGCACCCCTGCCTGGCAGCCAGGGAACTCCTTCAGTGTGAGAACCAACCTTGGAGGAGTTCAGACATGCATTAGGGGCACGCTTAAAGTTACAGGAAAATCAGAGGAAATAATTCCAGTGCTGACAAGAGAGAACTGGTATATGCCAGTGAGGGTCTTCATGATGCATCAGGCAATTTGGATGAAACGGGGGGAAACCTGGGGGGAGGGACACTCTTAATGCTGGGAGTGGCTTAGGGGGATGTTGGCAAGTGAGAGAAGCTTGCAGAAAGGGATGGTGAGGGGTTGGGTTTGGGGAGAGAGATTTTACACAATTGGGACCTCAATTCCCCATTCTGGGCCTTTTCCTCCCCTCCGTCACCTTCCCTTCATCCCAGTGTGGCTCAGAATCTGTTGCTAGAGAGAAGGGGTCTGAATACCCCCTTCACCCAAGAATAGCATTTTAACAATAGTGTGCTCAACCCAAAGGCGAAGCTTTTGTAAACTGAGTCCCTATCCTGTGAGGGTGGAGGCATTTCAAGCTGGCGATAGAGCCGTGTCCTGACACAACAACAATAATAATCATACTTACTGAGCACTCACTTGTGTCCAGGCACTGTTCTAAGTGCTTTGGATATGGGTTTTTAGTTGATGGTGGTGAGGTTTTCTTTTTGTTTATTTGTTTGTTTTTTCAGCCAAGGAAGTAAGGGTTTGTTAAGGAGAGGGAGCCATGCCCAGAGTCACAGGTAGCTGTGTTCCAAGGCCTGGCTCTCTGATGGCTTCCGGGGGGTGGAAAAAATATTAGTCATGGTGACAACAGAGTTAGGGTGCTGGCCTCCACTGATAGCTGGTGCTCGGGCGGGCGTGATTGATCATTGCATCTGGTCCTGATGGCAGCCTTGGAGTTGTTCCGTCCAATTTCACATGGATTTGTTATGGGGATCGTTTCACTTTCCCGGGTCTGGAGCTAAAGCACAGCTGAGGCCAAGATAGTCTGTTTCGTTTGATTGAAAACTGTCTCAGGAGTCAGTAGACCCAGGACCTTGTTCCTGGATGCTGACCAGACCTCATTGTCCTGAGGGCTTGATGATTAAGCAAGGGGTGGGGAGTCAGGTGCTAGGTGAGGCCAGTTTGAGGCAAAGGAAACACATAAAAATAAAAGGCCAGATTAAAGAAAATAAGGTTTCTGTGTGGTTACAATTCTGGATATGTTAATTCGCGAATCCCTTCCAACAAACCTTTGATGTAGCTACCAGTATTATCCCTTTTTATTTTTTTAAAATATATTTTTATTGATTTCAGAGAGGAAGGGAGAGGGAGAGAGAAATAGAAACATCAATGATGAGAGAGAATCATTGATTGGCTGCCTCCTGCACATCTCCCACTGGGGATTGAGCCCACAACCTGAGCATGTGCCCTGACCAGGAATCGTGACCTCCTGGTTCATAGGTCGATGCTCAACCACTAAGCCACACCAGCCAGGCAGTATTATCCCGTTTTACAGATAAGGAAAGATTATACCCGGAGTCATACAACAAGTAAGTTCCAGAGCTGGGGTTGGGAGAAGCAGCCTGGCATCTTTTTTTAAAAAATATATATTTTATTGATTTTTTTACAGAGAGGAAGGGAGTGGGATAGAGAGTTAGAAACATCGATGAGAGAGAAACATCGATCAGCTGCCTCCTGCACACTCCCCACTGGGTATGTGTCTACAACCAAGTTACATGCCCTTGGCCAGAATCGAACCTGGGACCCTTGAGTCTGCAGGCCGATGCTCTATCCACTGAGCAAAACCGGTTAGGGCAGCAGCCTGGCATCTTTATGCTGCGTGTAATCTGGGCGATCAACCTGGAGCTTGTCAGAGAGGGACTCGGAGATCCTTTGTTTAGCTTCAGCTCTAGCAGTTAAATCTCATACACAAGGGAGATCAGTCAACAGATGTATTGCAAACAAGGCCAAAGCAGGATTTATAGAGAGAAGAGAGGAAGGAGAGGAGTAAGAAGTCCGTGGGCGGGAGGGGTACGCTTCCTGGGGAAGGCTGCGGGAGGGTGGTGAGGCCCCTCCCTGTGCTGCTGGCTGCTGTCCTGCCCCTGGCACCCCAGGTGCTGCGGTTAAGTTTGGATTGCACCACCTCCCTCCCACGAATTCCTCCAGCTCCTCCAGTCACGCTAACAGAATGCTGTCCAGTCCACCCTCATAGGGGGCAGTAAGATGTTCCTGGACTTCCCTGTCCTCCCGGAGTAAACCCCGAGTGGGGCAGATGAGGAAAAGGCAGGGAGGATGGGGCCTGCTGGCCAGGGCTGATGTCCTGCAGGCATCGGTGAGTCCACTCCACCTGGACCGGTTTTCCTCCAGAGGCCTCTGCAGAGTCCCAAACAACCCAGCAGTTGGCCACAGTTCTTCCAGCTGGGCCCTCCCTCCAGCTGGGCTCAGCCTGGATCTAGAAAGCCAGGCTGTGATCACAGAGGGAGCTTCAGTGAGTGGCCCAGCCCATGTTCCTGGGGGACCTCGGGGGACACCCTCAAACCCTGAAGTCTAGGCACAGAGTCACCCCCAATACCTTCCCCTCCTCTCTGTCCTAACTACCCTCTGCTTCACCTAATTTTGCCCCCAAACTCTCCCCTGAAACTTTGCTGTCCAAGGGCACCTCAGATGTCCAGGGCAGTAGCTCCTCTCAGTCCTCATCCTTCCCCTGCCCTGCCCCCATACACACTGCATTTCCTGCCTTTGAAGGTCAAAGCCTTCCCTAAGGCATCTTCATTTTCTCCCAAGAGACCTTTCCCACATGGCTTGACCTGTAAAGTGTGTGTGTGTATGTATGTGTGTGTGGTATTTGTGTGTGTGTGTGTGTGTGGGGTTTGTGTATGTGTGTGTGTGGTATTTATGTGTGTGTGTGTGTGTGTGGTATTTGTGTATGTGTGTGGTATTTGTGTGTGTGTATGCGTGTGTGTGGTATTTATGTGTGTGTGTGTGTGTGTGGTATTTGTGTATGTGTGTGGTATTTGTGTGTGTGTATGCGTGTGTGTGGTATTTATGTGTGTGTGTGTGTGTGTGTGGTATTTGTGTGTGTGTGTGTGTGTGAGGTATTTGTGTGGTATTTGTGTGTGTATGTGTGTGTGTGGTATTTATGTGTTTGTGTGTGTGGTATTTGTGTGTGTGTGGTATTTGTGTGTGTGGTATTTGTGTGTGTGTGTGTGGTATTTGTGTGTGTGTATATGTGTGTGTGTGTGGTATTTATGTGTGTGTGTGGTATTTGTGTGCGGTATTTGTGTGTATGTATGTATATGTGTGTGTATGTGTGTGTGTGGTATTTGTGTGTGTGTATAGTGTGTGGTACATGACTGCTGTGTGTGTGCCCTCGTTGGAAAGGCCCACGTGGCTTCTGTGTACTATATTTGTGGAAGACATCTATTGGGTCAGTGTAAGCTTTTTCTAAGGTGTGTGTGTGTGTGTGGTATTTGTGTGTGTGTGTGGTATTTTTGTGTGTGTGTGTGGTGTTTGTGTATGTGTGTGTGTGGTATTTGTGTGTGTGTGTGGTATTTGTGTATGTGGTATTTGTGTGTGTGTGGTATTTGTTTGTGTGTATGTGTGTGGTATTTGTGTGAGTGTGTGTGTGGTATTTGTGTTTGTGTATGTGTGTGTGGTATTTGTGTGTGTGTGTGGTATTTGTGTGTGTGGTGTGTGGGTGTGTGTGGTATTTGTGTGTGTGGTATTTGTGTATGTGTGTGTGTGTGTGTGTGTGTGTGTGGTATTTGTGTGTGTGTGTGTGTGTGTGTGTGTGGTATTTGTGTGTGTGTGTGTGTGGTATTTGTGTGTGTGTGTGTGTGGTATTTGTGTGTGTGTGTGTGTGGTATTTGTGTGTGTGTGTGTGTGGTATTTGTGTGTGTGTGTGTGTGGTATTTGTGTGTGTGTGGTATGTGTGTGTGGTATTTGTGTGTGTATGTGTGTGTGTGTGTGTGTGGTATTTGTGTGTGTGTGTGTGTGGTCTGGTGAGCACCAACCATATGCAGTTCCCAAGGACAAGAATGTGCCAATGGAGATGCCAAGGCACAGAGAGATGAGGTAACTTGTCCCATGTCATCCCACTACTTAAGGGAAGAACCAGAATTGAACCCAGGCTGCCTGGCCTCAGGGTCTTCTTCACCATGTCATTCACTGCTCTACCAGAATACCATGTCATAGCACTGCTGCCCTGTCCATCTCTTCCACTGCTGGTGTCTGAGGCCCAAGTGGGTAGAGATAGAGTTTTATTCATTCTTGTCTTCCCAGCATATATTAGGCGCTTGCTATGTATGTGTTGTGTGAATGAATGGCCAGAGTACCAGGGTCAGAGCAGGAAACAAGAACAGAAGATGTTGCTGTGGAGGAAAGGAAGGTGAGAGGCTGTCTCCAGGACTCCCCTCACTGGGTGAGCCCAGGGGACGTTTTCAGGACCAGGGACCAGGTGCCAGGCTGAGGACCAACTGCCAAGTCCCAATGCTGACATGATCACCACCTCGCTTGGATAAGAGCGGCCCTGGCCCTCCAGCAATTGTCCTCAGCCCTGTGCCCATCGCCTCTGCCCCAGATCCTTCTCCAGAACAGCAGAATAGGTGGTATCCTCCTGTCCCGGTTACAAAAACCAGGGCCACTCAGACACACAGGTTCCATTCATCTCAGGTTAAGTCCGTGCCCACAGTCACAGGAAGCAGCCTCTTAAATATTAATGTCACTTCCCACATGCACTGGACCCAGGCGGCCCACACAATGGGTCTTGGAATTTAACACTGACCATGCCTGAGCCTGAAGAAGGTGATGGATGAACTTCCGGAAAATGCCTCCCCAGTCTTGGCAGCCAAGTGGAAACCACACCCTCCCCTGATATGCAGCATGGGTCACAGCGGAGTCCCACAAGGGGTCAGGGGTGAAGCTACCAAGCATTCACTGAGTTGCAGATGAGCCAGGAGAGGGAGGAAGCCAGATGGCAGCCCCAGGGAGACCACAGCAGGCTCGGGAAGACAAGGGAAGGGCAACGCCCCAGGAAGTGCACTGCACTTCAGAATGCGACCTCTGCCCCTGGGAGCGTGCAACTGAACTGAGCCTTAAAGAACTAGTAACTTTGAATTTAATCCTGGGAAGAGGGTGACCCCTCAGGTGAAATTGGAGGCTTCCTGGAGGAGGAGGGGCTAGTTCAGGGGCTCTGAGCCTGTCCCTTACTCAGTTTGTCCCTTGTTCCCTGAGCCTTATGAATCAATCCCTTAGGGACCGTGGGATTGATGATGGGAAGTAGACAGGCAGGTCTTCTCACTCCCATTTTCTCAGCTCCAGCGCCCACCTTCACTGTTTGCAGCATTAGAATCACCCCACAGAGCTTAAAATAATAAATACCATTGCCCTAGCTGGTTTGGTTCAGTGGATAGAGCGTCAGCTCGAGGACTAAAGGGTCCCAGGTTTGATTCCAATCAGTTGCAGGCTTCATCCTGGCCTGGGTCGAGTGCATGTGGGAGGCAACCAATCAGTGTGTCTCTCTCAAATCGATGTTTCTCTCTCTCTCCATCCCTTCCACTCTCTCTAAAAATCAATGGGAAATATTAATGGCCCAAAGCCCTCCGCTTGGAGTTCCTTATTTGATCCCTGCAACAGCCCAAGTGTTTTTGTCCTCATTTTAAAGATGAGAAACTGAGGGTTCAGGTGGTTGGCGTGGTGCCTGGCCTGAGTCCTAAGAGAGTAGGTACTAGCCGGGCAGAGAAGCTAGGATGTGTGGGGGAGTATGTTCAACATGCGGAGTCCCAGGCCCCCAGCATCCGGTGGGACTGCTTCATGGAACAACTGAATTTGGGGATGACAAAGATAAGAGGGTTTTCTTCTTTCCACCCACTTCCTTCACCAGCCTTGGGCACATCTCCCCTGGCCTTTCCGTACTGGTATCTCCTTCAAATGTCACCTCTTCAGAGAAGCTGTATTTGCCAATCCGCTAATAAAAATCATCTCCCACCCTAGCCAGTTTGGCTCAGTGGACAGAGTATTGGCCTGTGGACTAAAGGGTCCTGGGTTCGATTCCAGTCAAGGGCACATACCTCGGTTGCAGGCTGGATCCCCAGCTCTGGTAAGGGCAGAGGCAACCAATCAATGTGTTGCCTCTGCCCTGTGTTGTGTTGTGTGTTGTGTGTGTGTGTGTTGCCTTTCTGTCTCTCCTATTCCCTTCCACTCTCTCTAAAAATCAATGGAACAATATCCTCAGGTGAAAATTAACAAAACAAACAAACAAACAAAAATGTCACCTTCCCTGTCTCTTCCCCCCTTATCCTGCCACCTTTCTCCAAAGTAGTGCCCCCCCATAGTGTGGTCCTGGGGCCGCTGCCAGCCTTGCACTGTCATCTGTCCAGAAACAGAGAGTATTTAGATATTATATAGCAACTTTTCTAGTAATTCACTATAATTGTATTTTACAAAAGAATTGGTCCAAGACAAATTAGAAAATTTAAAGTCATTCTTCACCCCCAGGAATTTGAGAGACACTGCTCGAAGCACTATTGCCACCTGACAGTCATGTTTTCATTTGTTGTTTAGCTTCTGTCTCCCCTCTACACCATCCAGTCCACACCGCAGGATTCGCTCTGCTTTGTTCACTGCCAGTTCCCCAGCCTGGAGCAGTGCCTGGCACATAGTAGGCACTCAATACTTACCGGTTGAATGAATGTGTGAGTGAATGAGTAAAGCAAGCAGTCCCAAGTAGATCCTGTAAGTCTCTGGTCACTTTCGGTATCGAAACTCAATCCAATCCACTTGGTATCATGTTGAGAAGCCCAGCCTTTATAGGTTGTAGGGTCAGAGGGGGCTGTGATGGGTTCAGACAGGGGATGGTCAGGTTGGGTTAGAGAACTCACTTCAGAGGCCGTGTCAGAGCCCACACCAAGAGGTGGGACCATCCGCAGACGGAGCAACTAGCCCTGCCCTAGCCCCACACCTTAGAGGGCCCCACTTTGGCTCTCCTCTGGCCATGCCCCTCCCTGGGGTGAGGATTCTACAAGGTCAAGGGGTCCTGCCCACCACGAGGAGTCTGTGCCCACCTTCTAGACCACACCCCAGGTGTCCAAGATTCCAGAATTCCATGCCAAATCCACTTCTGGCACCTGGCACCTGCCTGGGCCTCTGCCCACATCAGCCTTCCGCAGGGCAGACCACACAGCCATTATTCAGAAGCCTCGGCCCATGAAGTGGCCAATGGGAGCTGTTTGCAGAATGAGAACAGGCGGGGGTGCCCACACACGTGCAGGTCAGAGCCAGGGCAGGCCATGAGCCAGAGCCTTCCAGTTTCTTGCTCCCCGACCTGCAAATGTTAAGGCTTGGATGTGAGGCACAGAGATCCTTAAACAGTGGTTCTCCTACCTTGGATCACCTGGTGTCAGGGTCCAGCCACTCCCATTCAGGTGGATTGGTCTGAGGTTAGGAGTGAGTTAGGCCCCCCAGCTGGCTCTCATGGGTGGCCAGAGTTGAGAGGCACTGCTGGAGAGATGCTGCCACAGTCCAGGCGAGAGGGGCAAGGAGAGAGGGAGGGCCTGCGCTGGGGAAGGTGGGGAGAGGTCCCTGAGTGGGGGAGTGGATCTGAGCTGGGTCTGTACATGTGCAGTTTATTTTTATTTTTTAAAGCTTTTTTTATTGCCTAGTTGGTGTAGCTCAGTGGAAGAGCATAGACCTATGAACCAGGAGGTCAGGGTTCGATTCCCGGTCAGGGCCTGGGTTGCAGGCTCAATCCCTAGTGGGGGGCGTGCAGGAGGCAGCCAACCAATGATTCTCTCACATCATTGATGTTTCTCCCTCTTCCTTTTTCTCTGAAATCAATAAAAACATATTTTTTAAAAATATTTTTTAAATTGATTTTTACAGAGTGAGGAAGGGAGAGGGAGAGAGAGAGAAACATCAATGCGAGAGTGAAACACGGATGGGCTGCCTCCTGCACACCCCCTCTACCAGGGATCAAGCCCGAAACCTTGGCATGTGCTCTGACTGGGAATCGAACCGGCAACCCTTCAAGTGCACAGGATGACACCCAACTAACTGAGCCACACCAGCCAGGGATGTCCATGTGGAGTTTAGCAGGCAGGTGGATAATGGCCTGGATCTCAAGTTGGGAATTACTAGCCCATCAATGGCTGAAACCATGCCCTTGGCTAAGAGAAGACATGTTGAACCAAGAGGGGAACTTCATTTGTGCCTCCAAACTCCACCCTCCATCTGCCAATCCATTCCTCCATCCCAGGCCACAGTCAGCTAGCAGTGAAGGGGGGGCCCTTATCAGTTCACCCAGAGCAGGCTGGTCGGGGGAAGACCTTAATGACACTCTGAATGCTCTTCTTCCCCCTCTCACTCCACCCCTGCTCCCCCACTCCCACACCCCTGCACCCCTCTCCTTTTCTCCCCTCTGCCCCCTTGGCCTTGCCTGTCCCCTCTCCCTTCCTGGCACTTGTCCCCCCACAAGGTGAAGGTCTGGTTCCAGAACCGCCGCACCAAACAGAAGAAAGACCAGAGCAGAGACCTGGAGCAGCGGGCGTCCTCCTCGGCGTCCGAAGCCTTCGCCACCTCCAACGTCCTGCGGCTGCTGGAGCAGGGCCGGCTGCTGTCCGCGC